TGAAGCAAAGTTTGTGATGGTGCCTTCAGACTGTCACTATCAGATGCTAACTAATCACAAAGTTAAGATACCTATTATCACTAATGTTAAAGTAAAATCCTAATTCTCATTTGTTGCTTTGCATACTATTTAGCTGGAATTGACTTGTAACTGATCCTACTACAGTGGGTTTTCAGATGCCATAAATGCATGGGAGATTCCAACCACCAGTTTTGGGGTTGTCAGTGCAACTCCTTACTCACTAGGCCACTAACGCTCTCTGTAAATCCTCATTCAGAATTGATACTGGCCAGGTTTCATGATTTGTATCTGGAAAAGGCGACTAATACCTATCTTTAATGTATCAAATAGAAATTTTCTATCAATTATCACCATACAATTGAGTTAAGTGTAACCATATGAGTATGAAGGAAACAAACAAACAAAAAATAACCTAGCCCTTAAGGATTAGGGTTATGTTGTGGTGACTGTGTTTCTCAGGTTTAGTTAACTACATGCTATACTCTTTGGCAAGGAGCTCTGGTGGCACAGTTCACGGGAAGTTGCACTACTAACCCCAAAACACACTTCTCTGGCAGTTTGAATCCACCAACAGTTCCTCAGGAGAAAGATATGCAGTCTTCTCCAGTGCCATTTATAGCCTTGGAAACTCATGAAAGAGTCAACTATGAGTCAGTTTTCTATCCAACACCATAAACCCTAAGAGAACAGGCACAATACCTGCTTTCCAAACTGTGATATCAAGGCCAAATGTCTAGTAAAACACAACCATAAGTAGTTCTAGCAATTTGCTGGTTTGCTTCAGTGTTTAAGTTATAGGCATATATTGATTATCTATGCGTTGACCACCACCTAAGTCCCACCGCCTCTCTAGAAATAGCTAACAGCAAACAATTTGAGACTATCATTTTCATTTCTTTGCCTGTTTACATCAGGAGCATAATTATTTGAAAGCTAGTGTATTGTTAAATAATCAGGATCAAGGAAAAACTGAGGTGTAAACTTCTCAACGAAATACTAATAAAGATGATATTTGCAAGCTGGATCCATTTCACTTCCTCCCAACTCTCCACCAAGAATTACAGTAAAGGAATTGTTAGAAGCTAAGAACCCAAGACTGGAAGAGTAGTGAGAATGTCAAAATTTTGGAAGCTGAAAAGGGGACAGACAACTGAAAACTGACTCAGCTGATCCCTGGGGGTGAAGCAAGTCAATCTAACCTTTGCTCTCTACTTCTCCAAAGCTCAGAAAGCAGTAAGGTAGGGAATTTGTTATTAAAGATAGTGAATTCCAGATACCTCACTCCATTCATGCCTCTATGGAACTACTCCTGCCCACCCCAGCACATGCCATCCAGGTGGAACTGACTCAGTGTTGACCTTCCATTGCAGCTGGTTTTCAGAGGCAGTAAATGGCATAAGAGATTGTCCATCTTTCGCTCATGGAGCAGCTAGTGGATTCAAACCAAGTCCCTTTGGAACAGTAACACAGCTTCTAATGACTAGGTCACCAGAGCTCATTCTTTGGAGAAGGTATATGCCAAAATGTCCAGAACATCTCACTTGGAGGGGTTCCAGAGGCAGGTGGACATGACGGGAGGCTTGAGTATCATCCATGATCATATCCAAGTACTCACACACTGATGCTTAGTGCTCTCTTTACTATGGTTGGCTCAGGGTGCAGGGAGCCAAACCCTTACTTACTAGGCAGGAAAATTTTTCTGGCAATCTGTCCAGCCCAAGAGGGAAATCCAAAAGACAATGACTTCCTGGGAACTCAACAAACTTACCCACATGCTCAGTGTCCAATCTGCTTTCTAGTTTCTCATACTTAAACCTGATTATGCCAAGGTCTACTAGACATCTGAGAAACAAATGAGGGACAGAGACCAAAACAGAAGACTGGATGCGAGCATATAGGAGAAAGAAGTGGTAATCTGTTCCCACAAAGATTACAGCTCTGAAAACCTTACATGGAAATTCTATCTAATCTGTCTTACCTGGCAAGTGAGTTGGAACTGACTCATGGCACATAGCATGTGGTGGTGTTACTCAGTTAACTTATGAACAACAGATCTGAACCCTGCCCTATACTGTGCCAACATCACCATCTCTAGTATGCTTGAGCCCACTGTTACAGTCACCATGTCAGTTCATCTTGTTGAGGGTATTTTCTCTGACCCTCCACCTTTCCAAGCATGTCTCTTCCTAAGGACTGGTCTCTCCTGATAACATGCTCAAGGTATGTGAGATGAAGTTGCATCATCCTTGCCTCTAAGGAACACCATGGATCTCCTTTCTCCAAAACAGACTTGTTCTTTTTTGCAACCCATGGGATATTCAGTACTCTTCTCCAACACTAAATGTCACTGTTTCTTCTTTCATCCTTATTCATTGTCTAACTTTCATATGCATAGGAAGTAATTGAAAATACCATTGCTAGCCTTGATATTTTTGTTGTTATGTGCCATCAAATTGTCTACAACTTACAGTGACCCTATGTACAAAAGCTCTGAACCCTGACACACTTAACCCCTTTGCCCTAGTTACTTTATTAATCCATCTCATCAGGGGTCTTCCTCTCCTGTGCTGTTCCTCCACCCCTCTGAGCATGATGTACTTTCCAAGGATCACTATTCCTGGTCACATGCCCAAAGTATGTGAGAAGGAGTGTCAAAATCTTAGCCTCCAAGAACCTCTCCAAGACAAGAATGATTTGTTTTCTTGATGGTCCATGGTATGTTCAAGACTGTTCTCCAACACCACAACTTAAAGGCTTCTGTAATCCTTAGTCACTGTCCAGCTCTCTGATGCACAGCAAGTAATTGCGAAAACCAGGGGCCGGATCAGACACACCTTAGTCTCTAGATTGACATTGTTGTTTCTCAGTACTCTGGAAAGGTCTCTGACAGTAGATTTACCTAACGCAATTTGTCTTTTGATTTCCTGACTGCTGGTGCCAAGAATTTTGATTGTGGAGCTGAGCAAGCTGTAACTTTTAACAACTTCAATCTTTTCTCCATCCATCATGGTGCTGCCAATTGGTCCTATGTTCACAATCTTTGTTTTCTTGATGTTGAGCTTCAGTCCATATTATAGACTAAAGTCCTTGACCTGCAGTAAGTGCTTCAGGTCCTCCTCAGTTTCAGGAAGCAAGGTTGTGTCATCTGATGACGTAGGTTGCAGATGAGTCTTCCTTCAATCTTGAGGCCACATGGCTCTTCACAAAACCCAACCTCCCGAATGATCTGTTCTGGATATAGATTGAAAACATGTGGAGTCAGGACGTATCCTTGACACACTCCCTTCTTGATTTTGAACCACGCAATGTTTTCCCTGCTCTGTTCTGAGGACAACGTCCTGGTCCAAGTATAGGTTTTGCATAAGAACAATCAAATGTTCTGGGATTCCCATTCTGAAGGTCAAACACAATTTGTTGTCTTTGCGTAGTCAATGAAACACAGATATCTCTCTGGTACTCTTTGCCTTCTGTCAAGAGCCATCTGACATTGGCAATAATGTCTCTAGTGCCACGGCCTCTTCTAAACCAAGCCTTCCTTAGGTATACTTTAAACTTATATCCGTATGTTTTAGCACTTTGGAGAAGTTCTCCACAGGTTTTCTGAATGAAACCTGCCTTTTGATTTCTTGACTGCTATTACCATGAACATCTTCACAGGGTCACTATGAGTTGCCTGCGACTTGACAGCACTTAACAACAACAACAACATTACCATGAATGCTAACTGTGAAGCCAAGTAAGATAAAATGTTGACTACTTCAATCTTTCCTTCATCAATCATGTTGCCTATGGGTCTAGTGGTGAAGATATTGGAAACATGTAGTGAGAATAGAAAAATGAAAATATGGAGACATCATATACATAATACATAAAGGCTTTCAAAACAAAAAAAGCAACGTAAAGAGAGAATAAAACGGAGTTCTTTGAATTTAAAGCATGTGAGCAAAAATAAAGGGATGGCAACTAAAGTTGAAGGATTTCCTAGAAAGGAGAACAAAAAGAAAAAGGATAGAACTAAGATGTCAAAGATATAAGTATATACAAGAACCATTTTAAGAGGTCTGGCCTTGACCCTAGAAGACTCAGAAAGAAGCAGAGAATGAAAGCTAAAGATATCTAGATCTTCTTTCAGGAGAAAGGCATAGTCTATGAAGCCAAGTGTGTAGCATTCAAAATGAAGACTAGCTATCCCGAGGTGGAAGGGTATTGAAGGCCAATACAACATGAATTGACAGATTACTGGATGGGTTGGTCCTTGCAAATCTAACATTCAAAAGGAAAACAAAAATACACTATTCAGAAATAAAGAGCTACAGAAAGAAGTATCTTGAAGGGAGGGATGAGCAGAAGACTGGATTCTTTTATAAGCTCTTTAAATCTATTTGAGTGCATTATTTGAAGTAAAAGTAAAGCTGAGATGAAAAAGTTTTCTGACTTCTCATTAAGCCCTCCAATCTTCTCACCTATTATGGTTCTTCTTTCATAGCATTTAGCTTCTAAAATGTGACAACCGATGGCAGTACCTACAATGCCAGGCAGGGAGAAAAAAATCTGAAGAACTGAAGAGTACTTTGAAATAGTTTTATTGGCTCATAAGACCTTTGCATATAAAAAAAATACCCAAAACACTATGCAGTATTAAATCACAATTACTTTTTTTAACAATTCAAACTACCTAGAATATACATTTTTGAAATAAATGAACAAAACCCTACAGAACTGATATTCTGAAATGGCATTATGACTTAAATACTATGACAAAATAGATAATTCCTTATAACATGAATTGCACAAAGTTGCCAGATATTTTCACAAGCAAAACCTGTGCCCAGAGTGCAAATGAGCACAATCCCAGCACCACAAGGTTAGCTGAGTAACTGTGCTGCCACCTACAGGACTCTCAAATTCTGGCACAAACTGATTCCTGAGGCTGGCACCTTCTGACTCTTCCTTCCTGGCCCTCCCACAATGAGAATCCTGAGTCAGCATCGCCGCTGCTTGAAGAAGTCAGCTCCTCGCAGTTCTTCGGGCAGGTACTCCTGGTCCACAGGCTCACTGTACATGGGGTTGTACTTGTAGCCTTTGCCATAGCCCAGATCCTTCATCAGCCTGGTGGGTGCATTTCTAAGGTGCAGTGGGACAGGAGGCAAGGGCCCCTGGTGGTTCCTCAAGCACGCTTTGACATTGTTGTAGGCGCTGTAAACCTCAATAGATTTGGGGGCTCTGGCAAAATAGACAACACACTGGGCCAGAAGCACCTATAATACAGAAAGGGCGTATTTCATTAGGAAGGTGTCATAAAGTTAGTTTTGCTTTATTCTTTATGACTGGTGGCTTAGTGGGTATAGGGTTGTAGTGCCAACCCAAAGATGAGCAGTCCATATCCAATAGCTGCTCTGCAGGAGAAAGATGGGCAATGTCTTCCCATGTGATTCACCAGCTAGAGGGTCAGCCTGAGTTGGTTGGGAATCTATGATACATGACAGCAACAACAACCACAACCCTTCCCATGACCTTTTTGCCTACAGTTTAGATAACTATCACAGAGGAAAGAAATTTCCATACAAATTGGTAATTGGAAACAAATGAGTTGTTGCCATTTTTTTCCCCAAATTGCAGAACTCTCACTAAAGACAAATTTTCTTAAAACCCCAATGATAGATAAAACAGATAAGCATGCAGCTTCTCTCTTCAGAGGTAAACTCTGAAGGACTTTCTGCTCAGCTTTCTCAACATTTTTGCTCCCAGAAGCCCTGAAGTTCTTCCTTTAGACTTCAGGACTCCTCAAGCAAGTAGAAATCATATTACCTCACCGATAACTATAGCAACCTAAAATCTGAGCAGCTGACTCAGTGGCTGATCCCTCCGTGGTCAAGGCTGACATACACCAATCCACAGAGGGCACAGGAGGAGGGGCTGATGGTAATGAATTGAGCTGATTACTTTACCTCACATTCAGGCATGCCTATAAAATGACAGCCTTGGTAGGCAGCAACTGCTTGTGTTAATGCAGACGGGTCTGCCAGACCTGCCACACACAGAGACAAAGGAAAATGTCAGTCACAGCACTCACTATCACTCTGACGGAGCCTGCACACTCAGTACGCGGGCAATCACTGCATGGACTCTGCACTGACCTCCAGCAACCTCAATTAGCATGAGGGACTGGCCTCTCTTGATCTCATTAATTTAGTCAAGAACTATGTACTGTGTGGTGGGTTACTATGCTGCAGGTAGGGTATGAAGAAAAATTGTATCAAACAGGAGAAACAAGAGACTAGATAGGCAAGCCTAAGGAGCAATAATCATTGAAGCATTCCCCTAGCTAAATATACAAAAACCAAGACTTACAAGGACCAAGAAATAGGTAAGGTTTTCTAATCTTTCACTTTAAATAGTATCCAGAATCTCCCATTCCTATCTCAGTAGCTGTTCAATAAAAATACGAACACCCTACTCTGGGGAAATTAAAAATTGTCTTGTAGTCCAATACACTTAACAGGCAGCCACTCAGGAGAGTAAAACCATGACTGAAATATGTGATTTTAGAGCAAAAACACTTAGAAGCATATACATAATAAAAAATGAAATTTCTCAGTGCATTATTTAAGAATCTCCTTAACGGTCTGTCTCATATGATATCTAAGACAGATCACAGAAAAGCAAAGATGCCTCCCCCCAGGCCCTGAAATCTCTTGCCACACTCACCTATATCCTCACTGGCAAATCTCACAAGTCTCCTCGCCACGTAGAGAGGGTCTTCTCCTCCTTCAAGCATGCGAGCCAGCCAGTAGAGAGAGGCATTTTGGTCTGAGCCACGCATGGACTTGTGAAGCGCAGATATGCAGTTATAATGCTCTTCCCCTAGATACCAAAGAACATCTTCAAGTGTCAGTTGGCAGGGAGAGAGGGTCCAAAGAGCTCTGTGTTTACTTCAACTGGCTGATTTTAAAAGCATCCTGTCACACAATAAATGCACTCTGAAACCCTGAAGGGCAGTAAGGCTTGAGAGCAGCTCTCATACAGCTCAGCAGGAAGGTACAAATCAATGTCACTCTACACAGTGCTGGCACATGGCACTGCCAGGACCTGCATGGCCAGGGAAAAGGCAGCCTTTCCCTTGTAAAAGCAGTCTTCTCAGTCCATAGTGGTGCTGCCAGGCAGAGGGTGCTAAGAGACAATCTCAGTGCTGTAGCCCATTTGTCACTCCCAGACGGGGTCATTTAAAACAAGTCCCCCATCTCCTATGGGAATTGTGTGGCAGGGTCAGGAGTGAAAATGAGCTCTCCTGTAGCACCTCTGTCCTCACCAGGGCTCAACTTCTTGTTGGACTAAAATACAAGAAGATGAGTAAAACATGTTTTAGAGGAAAAGGTTCTTTATGAGCAGACAATCATAGTGATACAATTCTTAAAAAGCAGTCAGTCTTTTCTTCCTTATGTTAAAGAGTGTACCCTGTCCAGAATGGGCAAAGGACTGACATCCTCTTTATTCTCATTAGTCCGTGGATTGGTGTTCAGCACCACGACCACGCCAACATACAAGCTAAGATGGACCTGCCTCAATACGCGGACCATGGTTGTGAGTCCTAGCTTTCAGGCTTGCTTGCTGGTCAGCTGACTTTTGTCTTGGAGTAAAAGACAACTCTCCATCAGCACTGGCCTTGCCAGAAGTTGGGGCCCTGAGCTGACTCCAGAGGCCTGAGCAGCTCAGAATTCAGAGAACCGAAGTATATCCTCTCACATGGATGGGGGCATTGTCCTCTGGCTTGGGCTTTCTCAGTTACAGTCTAACACCACTGAGAAGCGCCGGAGTGTTTGGGTGAGCACTACAGGTTGTGGGCCCACCCACCTGGAAACGCCCATTCTAGGTTACTTTCCTCTCTGAAGATGAGCATAAGGTTGGCAGCTACAGGTATACAGGAAACAGAGAAAAATACTGTTTACTGTGTCAAAATGAAACCAGTAGACAGAATGGGCTATTGCTGTCTCTGACTTTCAGCACATGCAATCTGGAATAGTGGTTAAGAGTGTAGGTTCTGGAGCCAGGCAGCCTGGGTTTGAACTCCCACCTATTTAGCTATGTGACCATGTACAAGTTCCTTCTCAATGCCTCAGGCTTTTCCTCTGGAAAAAGGGGGTAGTAAAAACACAACTCTTATACATACCTAGCACAGATTAAATACTACTTAAGAGTTAGATACTATTTTTATTCTGTGATACTACTTTTACTATACTGCTTCTGAGCTCACATTTTATATTGTCAAAACTGAACTTCAATGCATTGCAGAAAATCTGCTTTTATTTGGAAATTTTTCATTGTGAAAAACAGCTGAGATGTAGAAATAGCTGAGCTAGTTACTGGATCTCAAAAATGACTAACTACAAACTAAGCAGCATTAAAGGAAAGACTAAGAATTCAGGAGCAAGGGTCTTTTGTTTCACCGGAGTGATGAAAAGGCCCAAGAATTATAAACACCTTACTAGTGTTGAGGGCACTGAGATCATGCTCTATACCTGGACTCATGATGGTCTGGGCATCCCCATCTCATGAACACCCTGTGGGGCAGCGTCTCATGGAGTGGCAACTGTGGGGCTGCAACCCACGGAGCGATACCTCATGCAGTAGTAACCTCCATGGTCAGCTCCTCCTAGTGCAACAAGGAGTTGGGGAGTCACATATGGCTGCCCTAGAGGTAGAAAAGCAAGGACTAGACATCTCTGGTGTCCCGTGTGGGGAAGAGGACTCTACAAGGGCTATGACTGACCTGAATGGCCTGACAAGAAAGCAACACTGCACAGTTCCTGAAATCAGACTGAGATGAAAGAGTCTGAGCCACTCTGCGAATGTCAAGTTTTCTCACTCGTATATATGGAGCTAACAGTAACTATGTAATAAGGTTCTTTTATTGAGTCTAAGTGACACAGTGGTTTAAGCATTCAGCTGCTAACTGAGAGGTTAACTGACAATTTGAACCCACAAGCTATTCCATGCGAGAACAAAGAAGTTGTTTATGTCCACAAAGACTGACAGCTTGTCTAAGGGACCATTCTACTCTGTCTGGGGGATTTGCTATGAGTTGGAATCAACTTAATTAATGGTTGCTGCTGTTGTTGTTATGTGCACTCGAGTTGCTTGTGACTCATAGTGACCCTATGTACAACGGCACTAAAGTGACCCTATGTACAACGGCACTAAACTCTTTTCTGTCCTGTGCCAATCTCATTGTCTCCGACACAATCATCCCAATTAACCCCAGTCACCGAATCAATCCACCTCCCAGAAGGCCTTCCCCTCCTGCGCCTGGCCCCCACCCTCCCAAGCATGATGTCCTTCTCCAAGGACCGGTCCTCTCCTTACAACATGACCAAAGTATGTCAGACGAAGCCTCAGAATCATTGCCTCCAAGGAGCAGCCCGGTTTAACCCTCTCTGGGATGAATCTGTTTGTTTTCTTAGCAGTCCATGGTACCCTCAATACTCTTCTCCAATACCAAAGCTCAAAGGCATGAATTCTCCTTCTATCCTCCTTGTCATTGTCCAACTCTCTGACGCCTAACAACTTAATGGGCACAAGGTTAATTATGGTGACAAGGTTTTGAAAATGAAAAAAGATGTCTATAAAATACTCAACTCAGTGATAGATGATGTCCTATTACAGGGTAGTTGTCTGGTTGCTAACTGACAATATGACAAAACAGGGAGGGAGGGGAGTCTACAGGGAGCACTGTAGACAATCTATAGGTGGGAGTTCCCTGCCTCTTAAAAACACTATTTTATTCTGATCTCCAAGTCCTAATGAGTCAAACATAAATAATGGGTTTTATATCCAGAATGTCTTAAATCTCCAGTTTTGTCAAGAATTCCTCTGACATTCAAAGGACAGGAAGAGCACCAGCTTGGACTCTGTGGCCCATTAAGAGAAGGCTCCAGACTATCTCATCATGAAGCCTCATCAAGGACACACTCCCACCAGGATGATGACAAGTAAGTCATCTCCTCCTAGAATTTTTCATCAAATGTGTGTCCTCTGAACAAAGTAACACCCGCCTGCTTCACAAAAACATCAGCCACCATGCGAAAGCCATGCAGCGGTCACTTGTGAAGAGGCAGTTGCACCCAGAGGCCATTCCTAAGCCCCCTCTGCCGTCTCTGAGAATAGCAAGGACTGTGCCATCAGAAAGCCTATGGGAATACCACAGAAACGGTTCAGCCTACGTGATGTGTTAGAATGGTTATTTATCACCTTCCCAGACAGACACAGCTTTTCAAGATGTGGAAATTCTATCCCAGTGACTGTAATATATGTACATTCAGAACACCACAAATGCTCAAGTACCAGGCGCCCAGCCTAATCTACCTGTTGCGTCATATGCCTCTTCCATAAAAGGTGCAAGTGTGGGGCATTTATAACCTTTAATTCTGCCTTATCCTTGTAAATGTGGCTCTCGGTCAGTAGATAATTGCATAGGATGCAATTAAATTTTTACAGCGTTATTACAAAATGAAGCTCAAGTTTAGAGACTCATGTGTGAAGCAGTTGGATTCTGGAAGGTGGGTTTTCTTGTTTTAGTTGAGGGTCGAGTGTGGACTGTTTGGTTGTTTTTTTTTTATTTTGTTCACAAATGTGTGTGAGCTGATTTGATTTGCTGGATTTAGCTAACAATGAGCTGTGGGCTGCTGGATGCCTCTTGCTTAGAGTCAGTCAGGATCTGGTGGGCAGACTTTTGTATTTAAAAGTCATTTGGGGACTGACTGAGTGGTGTTAGTTGTGTATGGGACAAATATTCTTCTGAATGGTATAGCACACTGGTCTGTCAATGTGCTGTGAAGCTGAACACTCTGCCACAGGTGTGTTAAATGCCATAATGGTTACCCATGTTGGAGCTTCCAGATTAAGACAGGCTTGAAAGCAGGAGTGGTATTCACTTCCTAAATAACCTCCCTTTGGAAACTATGAACAGAGAAACAATGATAGTTATAGCACAGGGTTCAGGTCTTTTCTTCATAGAGTTGCTATGAGTCGTGCTCAACTCAAAAGCACTTAACAACATTACAAAATGAAAACTCCATGTAAGCGAAACTTTTAGTTTACAGAGGTTTCTCAATTAAAATGAATTAAAATAAAACTGCTTTTTATAACAATTCTTTCATCATTTACAGCCACTGTAAATGACCACAAAAGTTATTCACTGTTAACTAAATACACAGGTTTTCAAAGGTACTTGTGTTTTAAAAGATGCCATCAGGGAGGAAGTGAAAAGCTCCCTCTGATTTCAGATTGTAAAATGTACTTTAATTTCTGCCAGGACTGCTCCTGCTTTAGGTGGTTCTTAAGGATGATCAGGACCAGGTTTTCTGAGATGAAGGCAGTTCTGTGTGGATATCTTGGAAGCTGAACATGCCTGATTTTATCAAGGATTCACTTTCTCCATGCTCTGACTTACCTGCTCGGTCATACAGGATGTGGGATCGCTGTAGTCCCTCCTTCACGTCATTCTCTGTGATCAGAACTCGACTGGGAGAATAGCTTTGCCCACCTTTTTTACCAAACATCTTCTTTGAGTTTAACCTGGCCAGAACTGCCAGCTGCAACCCGTTCAGTCCAGTTCGGGCATCTCCATCACTGAGATAAGCCAATGTATCCACGGCTTTATCCTCTATGAGCACAGGGGGCCTGTAACACAACCAAGGATGATTAATGACATGGGCACAAACACCCTTCATCGTGTGGTACAGCTCACCTAATCACATTTCTTGTAAAGTCTCTGGCAAGCTATATTAGGTTCGAGGCCTTTGCCCCTCATTCTTAACTCATGTTGTAGATACAATGACACATTTACAAGCATGTGTGAAGAGACAATGCATGTTTTGGAAGGTCTATGTTAACATACTACCTGCTTCTAATCCTATAAAAGTTAGACAACTGCATCTTCTACTTAAATTGTTTATTAGGAAAGCAGAGAGAAAACACAGGCTTCCAGACTCTCCCTGACTCTGCAATGATACATATGCTTATAGAAATGTGTGAAGACACAGAAAGGACAACATCTCATCATAATACCAATTCTGTTTAGCTTCAGAGATTCTGTGACTTAACTCCTGTTTCAAATAAAGGCCTTCGTTTAATTATGATGCAGCAGGAGGACTGTGCAGGGCTCTGGAACAGCAGGTAAACAGGACAACACTGTATATTAAACTGAAAGGTCACCCCCTTGAAACCAATCAGAACTCAGAATCAACACTAGAACCAAGCTGTGAGAGACATCCTTACTTTCCCAATGTGAGGACTAAGCTGATGTGACAACCACATTTCTAAATGTGAATTAGCATTCTGAGTCTGAAATCAGAAAAAGTTTCCGCTTTTAGTTAAAAAAAGATCTAAAATATTTAGTAACTTGAGGGTTTTATTATTTCTTGGCTCAAATTATACTTATAAATTTATGAAGTAAAAAGAATTAAAAATGCTGATAGTAATTAATAAATCAGTCAGGACCTTCCCAAGCAGATCACAAAAACAGTTTACAGGCATTAGCTGTGCTGAAGAAGGAGGGTTCTGATTCAATGCATATTCTATTTTTAAAAGTCAACACACAATGTCTTACTTTACACTTACTCTCTATTTCCTTGGTGAGTAACCGGAATAATACTAGATTAGTATTTCACTCACTAGAAGATTTAGTTCTAACACTTTATAAATGGCTCACCTCCTTCCCTTACTTATCTAAAACTAAGACTTCCACTTGTTTACTGTGGGGCCATCCATCATCTAACCTGGTCTTCACTTCATCATCAATGGCTCTCTCATCAGACTTATGACCACTTCAAGGACCCCAGGTCATTGGCATCTTCACTGTCCCTGAGGGCACCATCTCAGCAGACACCCAATCAGATAATCAAACGAGACATGAAGGCCACACCTAAAAACAAGTTGACCGTTCCTCAAACACAGTGCTTAGCAAACTTTCTGGAAGATTATAGACTACACAAAAATAAAATGTGTAATACAAGGACTGAAGTCAGGAGGAAGCGCATGCTTGTACCAACATCTGCAGAAGAATCACACTTGGGGCTGTTAACTGCATACTATTTTTGGGTAGGAGAGGACAAAAAGAAGCAACACTGCCTTTAAAGTCTCAGTTTGTCTTGCAACTCATTAAAGCAAGTTATTTTATCCCTTGAAAAGATTCCTAGCAAAAAAAAAAAAAGGCCTGCAGGACATTTTGTAGGAAGAAAATGGTAATATTGGAACGCTAATGGAAGGAATCCTGTCAAACACTGTTTTCATAACTGACTGGGCCCAACGCACTGAGTCTCCAAGGGCAGGAGATCATTCTTCTACCATTGCTGGGTAGTAACAGACAAGTAATACACACATAGTCTCATAACCTCAAAGAGAAGTCTTTATCTTTGAAAATAATATGGAAAGTATAAAGAAGAAAACAAAATATTTCTACTGCTCAGAGGTAGTAAGAGCTGACTTTCTTTTATGTACCTACTCATCCATGCAACCATCAATTTTCCATCTTATTTTTTTATATAAATTTTGAAGAGTACTAAGTATAATTTCAATCCTGATGTTTTACTTAGTAGTGTTCTGAAAAACAAATGGGCTCTCAGACCTCTAAATACAACTTTAAGAACACTCTAATACATTAGACAAAATTAAAATTAAAAACAAAAACAAACAAACAAACAAACAAACACAAACAAACAAATGAAGAATTCAGGAGAAGTCACTTGCACTATCTTAACACTATCAAACCAGAAGCACACCTCTGTATATGGATTTGTTCTTTATGTATATTTAGAAGTAGAAAGTGTTCTTACAACTAGAGGATGTTGTTATGTGCTGTCAGGACGCCTGCTACTCACAGCAACCCTATGTACAACAAACAGCCTTAAACCCCACTCTATCCCGTGCCAATCTTACTGTTTCTGACACAACTACCCCCATTATCCCAGTCACTGAATCAATCCATCTCATTGAGGGTCTTTCTCTCTTGCACTGCCCTCTCCAAGGACTGGTCTTTCCTTGTAATATGTTCAAATTATGTCAGACAGATTCAGAATCCTGGCCTCCAAGAAGAAGTCTGGTTTCACCCTCTCTAGACAAAATCTGTTTTTCTTTTAGCAGTCCATGGTATATTCAAAACTCTTTTCCAGCATCACAGCACAAAATCATAAATTCTCCTTCTTTGTCTTTGTCCAGCTTTTTGACACATAGCAAGCAATTGCAGATTATAGCCTGGATCAGGCGTACCTTAGTTTCCAAACTGACATAGTTGCTCTTCAGTACTTTGGAGAGGTCTCTGACAGCAGAGTTTCCCAAGGCAATTCATCTTTTAATTTCCTGGCTGCTGGTACCAAGAGTGTTGATTGTGGAACCAAGCAAACTGAAGTTGTTAACAATCTCAATCTCTTCACCACTAATCATGATGCTGCCAACAGGCCCAGTGGTGAGAATCTTTGTTTTCTTGATGTTGAGCTTCAATCCATATTAAAGGCTGCAGTCCTTGACCTTCTGCAGCAAGCGCTTCAGGTCTTCCTCAGTTTCAGCAAGCAGGGTTGTGTCATCTGCATAACGGAGATGGCTGATGAGTCTTCCTCCAACCTTGATTCTACATTTCTCCTCATATAGCCCAGCCTCCAAGATAATCTGTTCTGCACATAAGCTAAAAAGGTATGGAGACAGGATGCATCCCTGATGTACATTCTGAACAATTTTTAAAAATGCAGTGCTTCCCTGCTCTGCTTGCTCTGTTCTGAGGACTGCCTCCTGGTCCACATATAGGCTTTTTATAAGCATGATCAAGCATTCTGGGATTCTCATTCTTCTCAGAGTTAGCCATAATTTGTTTTGGTCCAAACAGTCAAATGCCTTTGCATAGTCAATAAAACACAGACAAGACATTCCTCTGATACTTCCTGATTTCAGCCAAGATCTAATATCCCTAGTACCACGGCCTCTTCTAACCCAGCCTGCACATCTGGCAGCTTTCTGTTGACGTGCTGTTCCAATCATTTCAGGATAATTACAGGATAGGAGGTATTATATACTCTAATACTGTATTGCCTTCATTTCCAATCATCATCATTTAAGGTGAAGAAGCTGTTATTGGTGTTGATTGTGGAGCCAAGCAGTCCATGGTTGGTACTGATTCTTCTTCTGTCATCCTTAGTCACTGTCCAGCTCTCTGATGCACAGCAAGTAATTGCGAAGACCGTATCATGGATCAGAAGCATATTTGGCGAAGAACACAGCATGGATAAGATGCATCTTGGTCTCTAGACTAATATCATTACTTTCCAGTACTCTGGAGAAGTCGACAGAGGATTTTCCCAATGCAATTCATCTTTTGATTTCCTGACTAAGGTAGGATGTATTTTACGTAGTTGGAAAGAGTCCTCCTCCAGTTTTTAAACTCTGAACCAAAGGACCTCTTGGATTATTTACTCAGCATATAGATTAAAGAGGAATGGAGAAAAGATAATCTAAGAAGCTGAATATAAGAAGAAGAATGTGGTATTAGTATGGGAGTAGGATTCATCAAAAACCTGCATGATGCTTGCAGAAAGTGAAGACTTGAAGCACTTACTGAAGAAGAACAAAGTCTGCACCACGGATTACAACTGACTACTGATGCCAAAGAAAACAGAAACTGTTAACAATCTCAAACTCTTCTCCATCTATCACGATCCCGTCAACTGGCCCGACAGTGAGAATCTTTGCCTTCTTGAAGTTGAGCTTCCAGTCATATTGCAGACTACAGCCTTTACCCTCTGCAACAAATGTGTCAGGCCTTCCTCAGTTTCAGTAAGTAAGACTGTCATCTGCATAATGCAAACTGTAACCCTGTTGCTACATTCCTCCTCATGAAGTCCAGCCTTTTGAATGATCTGGTCTGCACAGAGATTGAAAAGGTATGGAGACAGGACACTTCCCTGACACACTCCTTTCCTGATTTTGAATCATGTAGTATTTCCTTGCTCTGTTCTAATGACTGCCTCCGCCTCCAAGAAGAGGTTTCTCAAGAGCACAATCAGGTGTTCCAGGATTACCATTATTCCCAATGTTAGCCACACACAATTTGTTGTAATCCATCCTGTCAAATGCCTTTGCATGTTGTTGTTATGTGCCGTTGAGTCGTTTGCGACTCATAGAGACCCTATGTACAACAGCCCTAAACCCTTCTCTATCCTGTGCCAATTGCATTGCCTCTGACACACCCATCGTGATTACCCCAGTCACTGAATCAATCCACCTCATAGAGGGTCTTCCCCTCCTGCGCTGTCCCTCTACTCTACCCAGCATAGTCAATGAAATATAGACATTTCTCTGATACTCTATGCTTTCAGCCAAGATTCGTATGACACTGGCAATGATGTTCTTAGTGCCACGGTCTATTCTAAATCCAGCTTGTATTTATTTCAGGTAGTTCTCTGTCAATGTACTATTTCAGTCGCTTCTGGATAATCTTCAGCAGTCAATATTACATTAGAAAAACATGCTGCCAAGGACTTTTCTGAAGTGTTAAAGAGCAGGACCCAGGTATGCCAAGACTAAAGAGTGCCTGACTCAAGTCATGGTTTTCCAAATGTTTCATATATCTCAAAGGTGGACAATGAATAAGGAAAACCCAAGAATAACTGATGACTTTGAACTGTGGTGCTGGA